AAGTCCCTGAAGGCTACAGTGTCTCTAGATCAAGTACAAAGAACTTCCCCCTCACGCTGGGGTCTGCTACCCCCTCCCAGACATCCGTGTACTTCTGTGCCAGCAGTGATCCACAGCGCTGCACGGCTGCCTCCTCTCTGCACAGAAAGGCAGGGGAGGCTCCACACCCCCAGAACTCAGCAATGTCCTTGGCAGAGTTCTCAGCACCAGGACCCTGGAGCCCTGAGGGGCCCGGGCAGTGTGAGCCTGGGTCTGTGCCAGGTGCACCTGCAGGAAGTCTCACCCAGGCCTGGGCTGATCCCAGGCCTCAGGAACAGACGTGTCTCCCTTGTTGTTGTCTCATCTTTCTGCTCAGCTGTCCCATTGGGGTGGGGATGGGGCTTCCCTGGCTCTGACTGTTCTAGTCATTAGCCTGAGTCTGAGGCCTCCAGGATGGAACGTGATTTGTGTTCCAGCTACATGTAGATTCCTGTCCCTGCCTGAGCGCCACATGGCTCTCCCTATAGGGTTCTCCCCCAGGTTGAGCCCTCGCATGGTCTCCGCTGCAGCCCCCCTTTCCCATATGGGTGGTCACCCCAGGAGGCCCTGCTGGGTCCTTTCTCCTGCCACTGCTTCCCCTCCAGCCAGGCTGCACAGATCCTCACCTGCACCTCCTTCCTTCCCATCACAGGGACTCAAAGGCCATTTCCTCTGCCCTGGGCATGGAGCCTTCCTTTCTGTAGAGGCTAATTCCTACCTGTGCTTAGGATCTCAGCCAAATCAGGCCCTCCTGAGGGAAGCTTCCCCTCACCTCCCAGCTGAGGTCAGTTCCCCTCTCATAAGCTCTCACGGTATCATGTGTTTTTAGTCAGTAAAATTTAGCACACTTGAAATTTTACAAACACTTTTCTGATTATTTTTCTGCTAGACTCTATTTTAAACTCCGTGTGGCCTAGGGATGTTCCTGCTGCGTTTACCAACCACTGTGCCCGGCACGTAGGAAGCACCTATGTCATAGAGAGTGGATGAGGAATGACAGACTGAGTAAACGACGAATGGATGGATGACCAGTAACAGAAACACCCTGGACCCACTTTAGCCTGGCAGAGCTCTAGCATTAGCTGTTAGAAATCAATCCCTTTGATTACCAGGCTCACGTGGTCTTGGAAATTAATGCGAATTGCCATGATGGGTGGCTAGATCTTTGTGGTTGCTGCACCAGAGTTACCCCAGATGTCTGGTCTCTCCTTCAGGCTATTTCTCCACAACAAATCTAGTCAGATTAGGGAACCACTTCCAGAATTGCCTCCAAAGAGTTTAGTGTCCTTGGAACCATTTTTGGTATCAAAAACTCTATTAGGGTTTATCAATAAGACAGAGCCACGAAAAGTACTATGGAGAGAGGGATTTATCGTAGGACTTAGACCTTAATAAAATGTGGGAGGAGCTGACCAAGAAAAGAGGAAGGGAGAAGTCAAAATGTCACAGAGACAGTCATCGGCCAGGGCTCCCAGGGCTCCGGTGCAGGAGGACAGGCTGGAGTGTCAGGGCCATAAGAGGATCAGAGCATGTCAGGCCTCCCAATGGGCCCTTGGCCAGGGAGCACAGGAGATGCCCATGGAAACCTGCTGCTGGGGAATCTGTTGCCCCTGTGTGGGGACCACCTCTGTGGGTTCACAGCCAAGTACCTGGGAATAGCCTGGCTGCTGTTGGCCAACATTTGGGAAGATGAACTAGACACAGAGTGCAGAAGCCAGAGGACTCTGTTGGTTTTTTGGATGCATCAGTATCTGTTGGCCGTTGTTTCTCACTGTCTGACCACAATGACCTTCCAAGTGTAATGGTGATTGTTTTACCTCCATCTTCCAAATTTCACACAAATTCTTCCTTGACCAACTCTAACCAAGGACCACAAAAGAAAGGGTCTTCTGGCAGATGTATTTTCCAGCATTTGCTAAGTTGTTTTAACACAACCTAGCACAGGATGGATTCTCCCAGCTTGAAGCATCTGATCATGCACCTGTTTCAACCTGCCACGGTCTCCATGTTCATCTCCAGGGGACAACTCTGTTGCCCAGGGAAATGTGGACACAACTCAGATGCTTCTGCTCTAGCTTTTCCAGGCCTTGACTATTAATTTTTCTTTCAAGACTGTGGCTGCAGTCTCCTTCCTACCCAGGAGCAGGGCTCTGTCTTCTGTTTCTGTCTCCTTCATCCTGAGCTTCTGTCCCGTTGGAGTTACCTGAACATCAGGACCCCTGGGAGGTAACCTCATCTTGAGCTACCTTCCTGGACCCAATTCTTACACAGCTAAAGCAAGTGCTCTGGTCTCCCTTTGGATTCCACAGTCTGAGAAATGTGCCTCGTAGATTTATAGCCGATCAGCTCAGTGATCAGATGATGATAACCCCAGAGTGAAATCCTCAGAGCTGAGGGACTAGTGCTGCATTTCTGTGATGATGTTGCCAATACAGTCCTGTAGAGATGCCTTCTCCCCATGTGTAGACCTGGTCCCAAGCAGGAAACACCAGAGAGGGCTAAAGAGACAAAATGTGTCTCAGATGGTGTAAAGACAATCACCCAGGACAATCCTTCTATGGACCACACTGTTCCCAGTAAGGCACGTCTGACCACTCTTCCCCAACTTAGCTGAGTACCAGGATGTCACATGCTCTAGCATCTTCTAACAATAGGACAAATAACTCAGATATCACATTGGGAAACTTCCAGAAAATTGGTCTTGCCAGCAAAGAGCTCTGTCTTCTCCTG